AGAGTGGGTTGTATACCCAGAACACTCTCAGGTGTGCATTTGATATTATATTTTCATCCGGCTTTTTTCTTTTTCATGCATACGAGATAGATTGATACCCACTTTATAACAATCTTGATACTATGTATTGAGTCATACTAGAAATATGATTGAGTTGAAGACCTGAGTCAGATATCATTTAGAAAAGTAGAGACAAACTAGCATATATAACGGGGAAAATGAAAATATATTAAAGGGATTCATTTTAATCACACAGATGAATTGTGTCCAACTTGGTTGTATTATGGAACTGAACCAACGGGGTCAAGTCATGTCTCAGCCGGGTTAATATTTGAAAATTACAACATAGCCCAGGCTGATTTCTTGGAAACAACTGGTTTGCTCTTGTACGCAATAGTATACAATAGGTTAAATTTAGTTGGTATGTGGTGCGCTGCGGTTAGGTTTATCTTATTCTTACTTTGAATTGCAGGATGCATTAAAACTTTTTTATTAGGTTTGCTTTGGTCCTATAAGCATATTTTTAACCGTATATATATATATATATATATATATATATATATTTCCACAATAAGGATGAATCAGTAAGAATGTATTAAATGCACAATTGAAATAACGTTAATAAATAATAGAGAATATAATCGCATAAAGATGTTCTCATAGAATTTCTTTTGTTGGTTAAGAGATTTCTGTTTTTTTTTTCCTTCTCATTTAATCCTTTGTTGAATTGAAAATAAGCATTTTGGTTAATCATAAATAAACAAGTAAATGTCCAAACCCTCAGATGCGAGATCTCAGGCCAATTGAACACCCCAAACATTTTTTCTTCTGCAGGAACACTATTTTGCAGCTTTCCCCCAATAGGGTCGATTATTTTAGGGTGTAGAAAGTTAGAAACTATGCCCTAGAGCCCACGACCAAGTCCCTAAACCTCAGCCCTGAATAGGGGAGATCACTAAACTTGTCGAGGCATTCGAATGGCCTGGCATGGTGTTTGAATGTCCCCACATCCTGCAGAACAGAACCCTACTATAGAAGCAACCTGAAGGTTTTGTATCCTGACATTTATAGGTGTATTATGTGCTCATCCAGTTGCACCTTTTGAAGGATCAAATCAATTAATTAACTTTTGGCTAATCTATATGTTGGACGTGTTTATTTTTATTAGATTCAATAAAAGTTTGTTATCCCTTGAAAAGTAATTGTTTTGTAAATTTATGTTGTCTTTCTTGGGTTGCTTGACTCTGAAATATGCTGGCGTTATTATGTCAGCATATGCTTTTAATATGGGTACTACGTTTTCTTGTTTGTAATTCTAGGTTTCTAGCTAATTGTACTTCTGCATTGGCTATATTTTTGCAGGCTACATTTAGAGTTCTTGCTGGCAAGGGATACCAGACATTGCAAAGCTTACTGTTGGAGTTTTGTCAGTCACGCTCAAGTGAAGGACTTTTGAATGCGTTGCTCGATATGCTTGTTGATGGAAAGTTTGATATGAAATCAGGCCCTAAAATAAAGGTGGTCTACATGATGCAAACCTTATCCAGAAAGTTTGTAATATCCTCTTTCGGGATTTTCTTTTCCATAATGCCCACAGATTTAATTTTATTTATGAGTTTTATACTTATGCCAAGTATGGCTATGGAATTGTGTGCCTGAGTCCTACACCTCACTCATAGTTATACATTTCTTTTCTTCACTTTTTTCTTCATGCAGAATGAAGACGTGATCATACTTTATCTGCGCATTTTGCGGGAGGTTGGTGATTCATTTCTATTATTGGTCTTTTCTATTTCTCTCTGAAATCATTATATTTACTTTGCAATTACAGTTGTTGAAAAATATAACCTACTATATCATTACTTGCTATTTTATGATTGGGCAGAGCAGTGACTCGTCTCAGCATAACGGGCTTGATGTCTTTCAGCAATTACTGAGGGATTCCATTTCCAATCGGGCTTCCTGTGTCAGAGCAGGAATTCTTAATTTTCTTCTTGATTGGTTTTCACAAGAAGATAATGATAGCGTCATCTTGAAAATTGCCCAATTAATTCAGGTTGTTGGTGGGCACAGCACTTCTGGGAAGGACATCCGCAAAATCTTTGCGCTTCTCCGAAGCGAGAAAATTGGGAACCGGCAGCAGTACTGCTCACTGTTGTTGTCCAGTGTTTTGTCAATGCTAAATGAAAAGGGACCTACTGCCTTCTTTGACTTCAGTGGGAATGATTCTGTAAGTCCTGCTTCTGTCTTTGTAAACTCTTTTCTTTTTTATTAAGAAATAATTATTTTATTGAATAAAGAGAAGACAAGATGGACAAGGTATCCATCAGGAACCTGAATGTATAACCAAAGTCACACACAACCCAACAAGAAACAAATTTAAAAAGAACCAAGTAATCTAAGAACAATTACTTCTAGATCAAGTATTTTGTGCTGTGCCTTTTTAAAATACCAAACCTGTACATAAGCTTTTGTATCGAAGACCCAATAATGCATGCATATCGCTTCGTTAGCGCCATCTTTTTATGAAAAACAGTGGAACCCCACTACCCATGCTGATGGACTTTTTGTCCACATTGTTTCATGTTTGTCTTGTATTTCATTAATAGTTTTTTTTTTTTATAAAAAAAATTAGAAAATAATTACTCAAACCACCCACCCTATATACTCAATATCTTAAAATACCACTAACCCCCAACTTTTTTCTGTTTTAATTTTGAACAGTGGTGGCCAGATGAATGGGCACTGCTTCCCATTGGGGATTTCCTTTATTTATTTGGTAGCCACCATGCTTGCGGGTTAACAACATGATAATCTTTCTTGTTTTTTGTTTTTCAATGATGTCCTTTTAAGTAATTTTATGAGGACAAATTTGTAAGTAAAAATTTCATTAATAGGTGGGTGGGAAGGACATTTTGGTGGGTGTTAATAGTACCCCTCCTGCCTCAAGTATTAGCTAGGACCATATTCAGCGTTGGTTATATGTAGAGTTAACTCGTGAGCTCCCATATATTCAGGCCAAAAACAAAAATATTGAACTCCACTATATTCAGGGCAACGGCTTCAACTTTAATCTTGTGTTCTTAACATCTCTAGGTAAACTTAGCTCCAAATACAAAAGTGGCCTGCTGACATAGGCAGTACAGAATAAAATCCCATAAGGACGAGGAAGCTAAAATAAACCCAACTAAATAAATTTGAAGTAAATAAAACCAGCCTAATTGGTACTCTTGCGCCTAGGCGACCACCATCTCCATAATTGGTCTCTTTAAGTGCCTTCTCTTCTTCGTTTAATTTTGTTGGTATGTCAATGTATGCATGTCATGGATTGGAAGAATGGTTTTTGTTGACTTGCTCTTGGTTTTGGATGCTCGCTTTATGTATTCTGGTTTGGTTATTCTCTCAAAGGCTGTCGGCTGTCTCTCATGTCATCGTTGATCCCCAAAGTTGAAGTAGTTAGGACTCAGTAATGTCTAGGACTCGGTAATGTATATGAAGTTGAATAATACTCATATCACTACTCCCTCCGTCCCCACAAATAACATGACACAAATGTGGATTTACACAGTACAACCTTCTTCCTCTGCACTTGAAATGCCTGAACTTATTTTATCCGTTCCATCTTGTAACTGATCCTTTTTTTCTTCTTCTGCTTCTCTCTCTCCTTTTTGTGTTTTTGAACTTGTAGGGTATCGTAATAAAGACGCCTGTGCAGTGGCCTCTGAACAAGGGCTTTTCTTTTTCATGTTGGCTTCGGGTAGAGAATTTCCCCAGAAGTGGAAAAATGGGTCTTTTCAATTTTCTTGCAGAAAATGGGAGAGGGTGCATGGCTGCACTTGCAAAGGACAAGCTTTTGTATGAGGTAAATATATTTTTTGGGGATTATGTTCTTGTGCTTGATTCATACTCTAGCTGTTAATGTGTTTAACTATTAAATGTTAGTTGCACATTTTGTTTTTTGTTTTTGTTTTTGTTTTTTACTACTTAGTTCAATTGTTATCATTTGCTTCACATTTTCTGCTGTTAAGGTTACTAACACAGTCATGCCATTCATGATTTTCCAGTCAATGAATCTGAAGCGACAATCAGTCCAGCTACAGGTAAATATTGTCAGAAAGAAATGGCATTTTCTATGTATAACTCATAGCATTGGAAGAGCATTCTCCGGGGGTAGCTTATTGAGGTGTTACGTGGATGGTGATCTTGTTTCTTCTGAAAGATGCAGGTTGGAGCCCACCTCTATTCTTCCTTCATGTTTATATTTTATTTTATCTTTTCTCTCATTACAGGGATTAACCCCTACTTTCATATTTTTCAATTTCAGATATGCTAAAGTTAATGAATTGTTAACAAGTTGTAGAATTGGTGCAAAATTTGATATACCCCTGTATGATGACGATTTTGCTATGGAATCTGTAAAAGATTCACATCCTTTCCTCGGTCAGGTTGGTCCTGTTTATTTGTTTAATGATGCCATTTCTTCTGAGCAAGTTCAGGGCATCTATTCCCTTGGACCGAGCTACATGTATTCGTTCCTTGACAATGAAGCTGCCTCATCTAAGGATAACCCGGTGCTTAGTGGGGTCCTTGATGTCAAAGATGGTCTTGCATCAAAAATCATTTTTGGACTTAATGCACAGGTTCTTTCGTTTTCCTGGAAAACTAGTTCTCTATAAGGTTTCTTGTCCATTTATGAAGTAACTCTAATACATTAGTTACTCATCTCAAAAGGAAAAGGGGGATTCTAAAAAGTTGATTTTTTTTTTTCCAGGCATGTGATGGCAGGAAACTCTTTAATGTTTCACCAATGCTAGATCATGTATCAGATAGGAACTCATTTGAGGCAACTGTGATGGTTGGCACACAGCAATGTTCCAGACGCTTATTGCAACAGATAATTTACTGTGTTGGAGGTGTATCAGTGTTTTTCCCTCTTATTGCCCAGTCCGAGAAATATGAAAATGAAGAAAGTGGACAATTTGAACATACATTGCCTATTCCTATCACAAGAGAGCGAGTGACTGCTGAAGTCATTGAGCTTATAGCTTCTGTGCTAGATGAGAACATAGCTAATCAACAACAGATGCATCTTCTCTCTGGATTCTCAATACTGGGATTCTTATTGCAATCAGTTCCTCCTCAGCAGCTTAATTTGGAAACACTTTCAGCTTTGAAACATCTGTTTAATGTTGTCGCAAACTGCGGTATAAATTATTAGCACTGTTCCTCATTTCTCATATAACCAGAAAATGTTAATATTGGTGTTTTTTTTTTTTTTTTGGTTTTGCTTATGTAGATTGTGCTGCAGTTTCTGAACCATATATTCCTTAAGATTTGTAATGTTATTATTTTTTTCCTTTAGGCTTGGCTGAGCTGCTTACTAAAGAGGCTATATCTAGCATATTTCTTAACCCTCTCATCTGGTTGTACACGGTCTATAAGGTGCAGCGTGAATTATACATGTTTCTCATCCAGCAGTTTGATAATGACCCAAGGCTGCTTAAAAGTCTTTGCCAGCTTCCCCGTGTTATTGATATAATACGCCAATTTTATTGGGACAACCCGAAATCTCGATTTGCTATTGGAAGCATGCCACTCCTTCATCCAGTCACAAAACAAGTACTTGGAGAGAGACCCAGTAATGAAGAAATACGAAAAATTCGTCTCCTTTTGTTAAGCCTTGGTGAAATGAGCCTGAGGTATGGTCCCTTCACTTTAGGAATTTTTCATTGTTCCCGAACATATACTTGCATTTATGTTTTCCCTTTCCAAGTTTAACATAACATACTATTATGTCTCATTCATTTAAAGTTTTAAGTGAAAACTTAAAAATTCCTGGGTATTATGCAGGCAGAAAATTGCAGCTGCAGATATAAGAGCTCTAATAGCTTTTTTCGAGACAAGTCAGGATTCGACCTGTATTGAAGATGTTTTACATATGATTATTCGAGCACTTTCTCAAAAACCACTGCTTGCAGCTTTCCTTGAACAGGTCAATCTGGTTGGTGGTTGTCACATATTTGTTAATCTTCTTCAGAGGTATGCATTCAATAATATGAATTCAGTGATATTTAAATCTTCACAGTAGAGTACCGTGGCGTGACCTGATTTACTTAGTAAAATTATTCGCCAGCATCCTGTAAGGGCTACTCTATTAATATACGTGTTCTCTTAAAAACTCAATTGTTACTCGAGTGCCATGACTATGGAACTACTGCTTCCCCAGGTGTACATCAATAAGAATAGATTCAGAAGAATTTGAGTAACCTAAATTACTTAGAAAGGCAATTATGTTTACCTTTTTAAGTAGTCCGGTGCGCCTCAACTGAAGTGGGGCAAAAGATTATGACAGGATTTAGAGGATTGGCAACAATACTAATAATGACAGTTGAGGCTATATAATGATATGGATCTGTCTTGAGTAAATAGAGTAACCTAAGCTTAATCTACCGAATTGCACTATCCTGTGATAATTGATATTCTTTTCTTTTTTTTTCCTTTGACAAACGAAAAAAAAATCTTGAAATGAATACAAAGCTGTGAACAAGTAGTCCACCAGAAAAATACAAACTCAAAACTAACTGACTAGAAGTGTTGAAACATGTTAGATTTCAACTATATCAAAGACATTGTTGTTGTGCATGATCTATTAGAATGGCCACTGCCGCATATTGAGTAAGACAAGAAGTTTCTTTTGAAGTTGAACCAACAGTTAGCTTTTCTACATATTGTGCATTGCTTTCTCTTTTGAATTATTCTACTCTTATGATGTAAATTACTATCACTGAGGCTGCAAAAGCTTCTTTTTACTAACCAGAGATTCAGAATACCCAGTCACTTATACATATATATAGACATCTAAATGTATATATTGATAAGACACACAAGCTACACAGTCACTTACACATTGTCTCTTCTGATTTGTTTTCCATTAGGGAATATGAACCTATCAGATTGCTCAGCTTGCAGCTCCTTGGAAGACTTTTGGTTGATCTTCCATCTGAGAAGAAGGGAGCAAGATTTTTTAATCTTGCAGTCGGAAGATCTCGATCTCTTTCAGATGGCCATAAAAAGATCAGTATGAGGATGCAACCAATTTTTTCAGCCATGTCTGATAGGTTATTCAGGTTTCCACAAACAGATAACTTGTGTGCTTCCTTGTTTGATGTTCTTCTTGGTGGTGCTAGCCCCAAACAGGTATTTGTAACAAAATGTAGCTGTGCAATTACCAGTTGCATTCTTATTTTATTTTATTTAGGATTCTGTGCAAACTTACCTGTGAGTTAATTTCATATTTACAGGTGTTACAGAAGCACAGCCAGGTTGAAAGGCAGAGAAGCAAAGGACATGTCTCTCATTTTCTCCTTCCTCAAATTTTGGTTCTTATTTTCCGATTCCTGTCTGGCTGTGAAGATGTGGCTTCAAGAATGAAAATTTTCAGAGATTTACTTGATCTTCTTGATTCAGATCCTTCAAATGTTGAAGCTTTTATGGTAATAGCACTATGGGTTTCCTATATTCTATTTTGTCTTAATTAACTATCTTCTCATAGCTCAAAAATCATGAATAGGAATTTGGCTGGAATGCCTGGTTAACAGCTTGTGTAAAGCTTGGTGTGTTCAAAAACTACAAAGTTAATCCCCAAGACCAAGATGACAATGAGAAAAACGAGCAAGATATAGTGAGGAATCTATTTGGTGTTGTTCTTTGTCACTATGTTCATTCTGTAAAAGGTGGGTGGCAACAGTTGGAAGAGACAGTGACTTTCCTACTAATGCAGTGTGAACATGTACGTAGACATCGGCATTGTTCTATTGATCTACATCTCTAATTAACTATAGACTTATTATGATCTCAAGGTTTTTTTTTTTTCCTGGCAGGGGGGCATTTCATTTCGATACTTGCTACGTGATATATATATGGATTTGATTAGGAAACTGGTGGAATTATCTTCTGAAGAGAATATTTTTATCTCACAACCATGCCGGGACAACACATTATACCTTCTAAGACTGGTTGATGAGATGCTTATCTCTGAAATTGACCAAAAACTTCCGGTATTCAGCTTACCTGGAACTTAAATCATAATATCCTAACTACTCCCATGCTGAACCATCCCACCCAAGCTTAAAAGGAAGAAATAAATAAGAACAATGGATACAACAAATAATTTATCATCTTACAGAATCAGATAAAGCAGAGCTGTGTTGTAGTCAGTTTACTAATTCAGCTGATTGAATTTGTGGACACTCTGTGATCACGACACTAAAAATTGTGTTACTCTAATTGCAGTCTTCGTGATCTAATTTATCAATCAGGTTCTCCATCCCTCTCATATGAAAGATGACTTGAAAAGTTGAAATTCAAAAAAACCAGTTTTTCTTTTCTCTTGGCAATCAATGTTTAATATATCCTCATTCCAGTGCCTCTCTTTATTGAGAGTTCTAAATTTTCAAATCATCTCACTTATTTCTTCAGTTTTTCCAATGTCTGCTCACAGTCAGCCAATGTAGTTTGTGGTTCCTTCAATTGTGTTTTGATTAGTTAATATGTTTTGTTTGCTCTTGTGTCTTATTAAGTGAAGTAATTAAATATATTTCAACTACATTTTAATAGTGCCTTTGCAATTTTCATTTGGAGAGAAAAAAAAAAATTGTAATGTCAGGTTGTGTGTCCAAAAGATGTGGCATGTGAAATAAACATGTACTCTATCTAGGTAGCCCATATAGAGATTGTAATATCATATAGTTCTTTGCCCATGAGATTATCGCTTGTTAACAATATTGTGAAGAATAAATATTGGACGGCTTCATTTAGTAGCCCTTCATAACTGTAATAATAAGTTGTTGCCTCTCTGCTCCCATAAGCATGAACAAAGCAATACTTTATTGGTTTTCAATGCTATGTAATTGGCTTGTAATTTTCTGCTTATTTATTTCATTGTTAGTCACACAGGTGAGATTATCAATTTAATATTTGACTTCTTGCAGTTTCCGGCAAGTAGCTCTGACTTTTCGCTTGATTCCTTAGAGTTGGAACGCCATAAAGATTATGGCTCAGCTTTATACGAAGTGCTGCAAGGAGAAATCGATAGCCAAACATCCAGGTACTGGCTTCTTGGCTTGCAATTTATTTTTTCCTCTGAAACTAATCCCCAATATGATGTCAGTCACTACTGTCTTTGTGGATTTAACCTATCCAGTAAGCACCTGTATTAATTTCTTGCAATTTTATTATAATAGTTGTAAACTGTTACGCTACGCTGCAACTTATATAATCCGATGATGTGTGCAGTAATATATATATAATTTCAAAGAAAGTGATACTTTTTATTCAATGTGGACAAGAGGTCTCTAAACAAGTGCATACAAACTACATTACAACATTACCAAATTCAAATCCCAGACTGGCACCTCATGCTATTTAATTTAACAGACAGCTGCCTACCAATCTTAAAGGATAAAAAGAAAAAAGGTACATACCTAAACTTAATCGAAACAAAAGCCCATAATGATGCCAAAACCTAACTCTACCCCACAATTCTTCTACCCCGTTTCCCTGTAGTCATCAATCCCTTTGTTCCTCTCCATCCAAATGACCCGTACTATACTGCATCCCCATAATTTATTTCTAAAAAAGTTTGTGCAGCTTCCTTTATTTCTTTATATTTTCTTTTGGTGTGAGACTGATCGGTTCCAGGACCTCTCTTGTTTTAGCTGTTATTTTCTAGCATGATGTGTCCTGATTTATGATGAATACCATTCATGGTTTGAATGACTTATTTTATAGGATCCCTGGGAGTTGCAAGCAGCCAATCAATAATGCAGAAGGCATTGTAAATGAAAAGTGGTGGAATCCATATGACAATTTGTGGATTATTTTAAGTGAGATGAACGGTAAAGGACCAAGCAAGTCCTTACCCAAATCATCACCATCTGTAGGTCCATCTTTTGGCCAAAGAGCACGTGGCTTAGTGGAATCT